TGAGAATATTCATGAGAATTTCATTAATGAACTCCTTTTCCTTACTTCCTATATGTTCCATAGTAAAAGTAGCTTTCTAGTGACACAACTGTATAGAACCATTGTTATCAAGTTCAATGTAAGTGTCTTTTTTATTTTTATATTTAATTTCCTGGTATGGTTTGATGTTTATATTTCACATTCTTATTTCTAGAAATAAATTAAGTATATATTTTACTGATTTTTAATAAGCTTTTGTTTTATCCAGTGAACTCATATTAGGTTCAATTTCTTTGCAAGAAAGTTAGAAATTTAGCTGATTAATCAAGAATCAAAATGCTTACTTATGGTCATAGGACTGCTGAAATAATCTTATATTATTGCCAATAGTCAGATATTGTGTATGTACTTATGAATCAACAGTTACTTTAAAGTTGACACATTATAGCTCTCATTTATTTTTTTTCTCAAAGCAATTTTGATGAAAACTTAACAAGAAACTGTACCAGTGTGGTAGACAGCCTTTAAGATGCCAACCAATGATTTCAACCTCCTAGGATTAACATTTGTGTGTCATTTCCTCCCCCGAATGTGAATTGGGATGATCAACTCAGTAATAATAAATAGAAAAAGACAGAAGCTATGGGATGTCACACCAGTGACTAGGTTATAACAAACATTAGGTGTGCATTTACTCTCTCTCATGGATCACTTGCTTTGGAGGAAGCCTGCTGCCATGAGACAGTCTTAGAGAGATGTCCATATGGTGAAAAACTGAGAAAGGCCTCTGGCCAATAGACAGCAAGAAATCAATATCCTTAGTCTAACACCTGTGAGGGAGTGAGACCTGCCAAAATCCTAATGGGTGAACTTAGAAGTGCACCATCCCCAAGTGAAGTCTTTGACTTAGGCTGCAGTCCTACCTGATTGCTTGTCTGCAACCTCATGAGAGACCCAGAGCTACAAGCACTCAACTAAGCCATACCTATAATCCTGACCCACAGGAAATGTGAGATCATCAATCTTTGTTGTTTTAAGTCACGAAACATGGGAGAAACTTATCAGGTAGCAATAACAGATAAGTAATATAACATATTTGACTTTATTTCAAAGAGGAAACTTTAATAAATAATGAATAACTAACTGATCATCCATTTTTGTATTATTTTAAAAGGTGTGACTCTTTTCAATGATCTATTGTCCATTAGTGCCAGTCAAAAGAGCTAGGATTACTCATGGTTACTCAAGAAGTAATAATTGCAAGTAAGCAGTTAGAAATCCAGGACAAATCATTTTGAATCTTGTTTTCCAAAAGAATGGATAAAACTGAGACTATAGTTCGTAAAACCAGTGACGATAAAATGCCCATCCCCTGCTCAAGTTAACAGATGAATGGATGTCTTAGAACAATATTTGCAAAGAGGGAAGCTTTTAGATACAGGCAGTATCTCTCTAATGAGGTAACTCACCTAACTGTCATTGACTCATTAGTCAATGTCTGCGACAGGTATTTCTGCCTAGATTTTAGCAGCTTGATTGTTCCTGCTGAGCGGGGACCCAAGTGATATACCTAATACCTGCAAACGTTAGCCCTCCGAGGAAGCAGAGACATGGCACAGGTATCAACATAGTAGATTTTTGAGAATATGGAAAAAATGGAGAACTGCCTTTTCTTTGAAATAATCAGAACAAAACTAGCAGAACAAGTTGCCATTCATTGACAATAAAGTGCATAAGAATAAAATGGTGAAATTAAAAGTATATTGAAATTATCTTGAAACTCAGCATAAATATGCAAAACATTTTAGAGTGAATCAAAGGAAGCCAGCCTCACAAATAAGGTAAATGCATAGCTTGCTC